ATTTTAGTTGGCGTTAGTTTTAAGCCTCAGATATATTTGGAGAAACATTTCTTTTAGATTTTTTGGGGCATCAAAGAAAATTATTTTCTTTACGCTCTATTTGAAAGGATCTGGGGAATATCATGGTTGGGGGAACAGAGATCTAAAGGTTCAAAAAAGGGAGGAGGCTTATTTAACATGGAAGAGGTTAATTTTTGGGAAAATAAGGGGGAAGGCGTTTTCGGCGGGTTCAGTCTTTCCCTTCTTCCTCTTTTTATTTGAGGTTGCCTTCTTTGGTTGAAAAAAATTGAAAAGAAGAGAAAAGAAAAGAAAAAGAAAGTTTGTCAACCGAATGTCCTATTCTATTATTAATAGACTCTCCACATAATATGTGTAGTAGTAGCGGTCGCCAGTTAGCTCAGGGTGTGAGTGATCAGTCGATGTGGGACTTAAAGTACCCCAAATCACAACTAGTTTTGGCGTCTTTAAATCTTATTTGCTTAACGTTTTGCGTCGAACCTAATTAGGAGACATTAAAAATCCAAGCCCCCATTGGAAAACTATCCAACAGTAATGTAGAGCGCAAATGCAAAATTTTTAAAATTTTTTGTTTATATATTTTTTTTTTACGGGGACTTACAAAATTTTTTCTATCTCACGTATTTTTTAAAAATTTAAAGCTTTCCCATCAAAATATACGTAATCTCGGTTTCGAACGTTTCCCCGTCGAACAAATGGGTTTTTCGAACAAAAAATTCGAAAAAAATTTTTTGGTTATTTAAAAATTTTCTCAAACATTGTCGAACCGAGGAATCAAACGGAATAATTTGAGTCGAATGTACAATTTTTTCAATTTTATTGTACTGTGACTTTTTTTCTCTACATTGATTCTTTATTGGTGCCAGTTTCAGGTTACGAACCTTCTGGTGGAACAGGTGAACTCGTGAACCGAGGTTCCATTGTATTTCAATTCAAAATAAGACCGGAAATGCAGATATCAAAATTATTCCTGGTAACTAATTAATTTTATGTTATGTCTTCAAATATCTTAATTGTATCAAAATCATTTTTAAGGCTTTGTATTTGTATCGTGTTGTTCAGAAAATAAGGCAACGTTTAAAAAAAACTTTTTTTCAGCATTGAACAATAGAAACTAATTTCCTAGATCAACAAGCAAACTTTTCTTGTTCCATTGCAAATCTAAGTTATACTTTTACTAATCTTTATACGTACGTTTCTATGCATCGATGAGTTTATATATTTTTCCGCAAGTATCAATTTTCTACCGGATGCCTGCTCTTACAAGGAGAGGCGGTGATTTGACCAATCAGGTTTCATGGAACGCTAGACCTTTCTAAAAATCTTCCGATGTGTAACTTCGTGATCTGATTATTGACTTTGAATCCCAAGGTCACATCTAACGTAAAGCTGAATTGTTTATTGCCGTTGGTTCAATACAGATCTGGCATTTTCACAAAAAAAAAAAAAAAAGAAAAAAAGAAAAAAAAAGAATTGTCGTCTGCATTTAGAAGTGGCCTGCAAGGCGAGCGTTCGTGCGTTAATCAGGAACTACGTTCTTCTCGTTGAAAAAATGAAGGAAACAAACAATGTCAACACCAATAACGTTATTTTAATTTTTTTTCCTATTTTAAAAAGGACATTTATAGGTTGTAGATATGCGCTAATCAATAATCTGTATATTTCTGTATTAATTACAGAACAACAACTTTGGTGCGAAGCTAGATGCAACACAACCATTGACTATTTAACTTTACTAAAAAAGGAAACGACAAGCAAAAACTTAGACAATAGCCATCATTCTACGATACATTGTATTTACATACGCACAACGCATATTATCACACGTGCAATGTCCTTTCCATTAACGAGAGTAATAAAAGAACAGGAAATTAAGAAGAGAGAAGATAACGATTGACATTGCATTTAAATTTTTCAAGTTCAAAGCTGATTGAAAAGGCAAGAAACCGGAAGTAGCGAGAGAAGTGCGACAGAAGAAACTATTGGCGTATAACTTAATACGTACATCTATTTCAACTGCAATTGACGAGGCCTTTGCTAAGCATCTTAGCACTTTATAAAGTTTAAATTAAGAAAAAACTCATCATTACCATGAAAAACATTTACAGAAAAGGCAAATGGAAGATATTAAAGCGATGAAAATAACGCCAAAATGCTAATCAGAATAGAGATATTACAGATTCTACTTGTATTTTATCAAGAATCTCTAAATGAGATACTCAGACCAGATGTATTATTAATACAATGAATGGACAAATGGTAGATTTATAAATATCTAGATAATTCTGACAAGGAAAAAAATTGTCTGGCACGACACAGTGACCACCAGTAACAACAGCAGTTAAGTGATTCCTGCTCTTAAACTTCCAATCTTACGATCAAGCCTTGCTGCCGGATGTAGTTTATCGTCGTGTGGCTATTAGTAAATAAGAATAAATTAAGAAAACAAATCACATCCAGCAATGTGTGTTAATCACGCTGTCATCAGTAAAATATTATACCAACATTTCAATTTTTTAAATTATTCAAGAAATCTTTTTTCTAAAGAAAATAAAATCAACATTTCCCATTTCTATGACAGATGATTTTGTTGGGACGGACAGCAAATCAGTTCTGCAGATAAGAAAAAAGAAAGGGCGTAAGACAAGGATATGTCTTCTTTGGATTTATTCAAACTATATGGCGAGGAAATTTGAGAGAATTAAAAGTCCTACTAGGATCTATTATTGATTTTTGATCTTAATAAATATAATATGCAATGGCACAATGTTGACAGCAATCACGAGAAGGAAACTAAAAAGCTTCTACAGAAGGTAGCGGAAAAGAAAGAGAGAAGAAAGGACTAAGTATAAACTAGATGAAGAGAACGTATAATTATCAGCAAAAAGGACAGCCCAAAATTCAAATTACAAATCGGGGATACTAAAAATCATACAAATTACAAAAAATTTAAATATTCGGGAAGTGTTCAACAGAAGACGGAATGTGAGATATTGAGGTTCGAAGAGACGAATTGGGATGGCCAAAGATGCATTTCAAAAAGCCATTATTATAAGAAAGAAAATTTGGTTAGAAAAAAAGAAAAGAATATTGAAAGTATTATGTGATATCTGTCCTGTATGGCAGCGAATGATGGACAATCTCAATGAAGAAAAAGACTTGAAACAACAGAAATGTGGTTCAGAAAGATGTTGGATGATACTAGGACTGAAACATGTGAGCAACGACGAGGTTTAGGAGAAAAAGCATCAAGAAGAGGTGCAGTTGAAATTTCTGAGGCACCCTAATGTGGGAAGGATGGCTGGAAAATTGATACTCACAGGACAGATTGAGAGAAGAGGGTCAGGAGGAAAGCAGTGCATAACATACTTGATGAGCTTGACTAAAATGGATGGTAGAATGGGTTTGGAAGAAATAAAAAAAAGACAAAACTTTATTAAGAGTAGAAGGGACAGGAAGATGCAGGGCTGATCGCCCATGTCCCAGAGGGATACGGCATATAGTAAAGCCCCGCCTCATGAGGTATTGATACCTAATGTACTCACTGTTCAAAAAACGTTTGCTCATGCCTGATTTATAGCCTCGACAAAGTTCAAAAAGTGTAAGTGCGGACTTGTGGGTGATGAATTTTTTTCCGCCCTTCATCGACTTTCTCACAGACAAAAGCATTGCTAGTGTCTTTCTGTTCTACTCGCTATTTTCATTGCAGATGTTCAGACCAGCTACACTTTTTGGTTCCAATAATCCTGACCTTCTAATCTAGGACCCTTATGATATGTACACGGAATCGACTTATCGTCATCCCCTTCATATTCATTAGTAAAGAGGAAGTTCAATTCGGAGCTTTTCCACATAACTTTTGGTTTGTGGATGATTCCACTGTCACTAAAATATTAACATCTGCAAATCTAGGGTTCAAACGTTATCTATCCCATATCCTCATGATGAACCTCTTCTCCTTCCTTAAAGCTCTTTACAACAATCTCATTCAGTGTCCTCTATCTTAAAGAGGCTTTGGGGCACCAATTAGGCGAACGATAGTAAAAAAAAAGTCAGTCTTACTGGCCATTATTAATTTATGAGGTCCGACCACTGGTGCCTTTACTCTTCTTGTATTCCGTCTCTAGTTGCAAAATGAAAACGGCTGGGAACGTTTGGTACATATACAGGTGCGTTTGGATAAACTGTCGTTCAAATTACGCGAAAGTGAAAAACAACACTGACACCCCACATCTTGGAAATAACAAAGTGTAAATTTATTTCACAAAATCGCCGGTGGCTTCAACCATGGCCCTGGACAACATCGGATCTCCTGCAACTCTTCTGACGGTCTCTTGTTAAAAGTTCGTGGAACGCTGCCATAATCCTTTATATTCAGTTCATCTTTGGTGTTAGAAAGAGTTTTTGTTGGTCTCGCTTAACTGCGCCCTGCACCACATAATAATCAATGGGGTTGTAGTCTGAGGAGTTAGGTGGCCAGGGGATGGCAAGATGGGTCCAGAAAAATTGTCTGATTGCTATGACTGAGTTTTCCTACTTAGTGTGGCATTGTAGTTATCCTGCTGCCAGGTATAGGGTCTTCCAGCAGCAACTATATTGACCCAGGGCAGCACTATTTCCCTCAAGGCACTTGATGTAGGCATCCGTGTTGAGTCTGAGGCCCTCACCAATAAAACTCAGGAGTTTCTTTTCAGAACGATCAGTATGAGTGAGCTCTGACCTGGTTGTACCTTCTAATCGCCATTAGACCCGTAAAACTCTTTCCGAATCCTCTTCACTATCCCTCAGATTGACAATTCCCAAACACTGAAATATTCAGAATTGAGCTTTCCGGGGCGAATGCCAAGGTACAACATGCCGTTTTCAAATTTCTGCGGAATGGTGTGTCAAGGTGCTCTTTTTTTTCTCCCAGACGGTGCCCAACTGACCCTACTATACTGTGCAGACGACAAAATCAAATACACAGAACGCGCAAAAGGAAGTTAAAATTTACCATCGCAACCTGTATTGGAGTGCAGAGAGGAGTTTGAGAGGTTTGAAGAGAGAGAGAGAGAGAAAGAGAGAGAGAGAAGATGTATGCGAAAGATGGACAGTGTGAGGTATCGAGCAATCCAGGTAACAGACAGAAGCGAGAGTGTTAGAGAGGAAGAGAAGGAGAGTGCAAAAGAGGACAAAGACGGAGAGAGAGAGAGAGAGAGAGAGAGAGAAAGCGGGAAACAGGTGCGATGGATGGTCAATCCAGAATAAGAGAGAGAACGACAGAGATAGAAAAGGGAGAGAGGAAGAGAAGGAGAGAGAGCGAGAGAGAGAGAGAGAGAGAGAGATAAACAAGAGCGAGAGACAACAAGAGGAGAATGAGAGGGCGGAGACAGAGGGGAACAAGAGAGAGTCTTAGAAGAGGGAGGGAGAGAGAGAAGGCATGCGAGAGATGAGCAGAGGAGAGATCGAGCGATCCAGAGGAGAACGATAGAGTCAGAAAAGGAAAGTGAGAGAGGGTGGGAGAAGGAGGAAGAGAGAGAAAGGACCAAAGAACAAGAGCGAGACGAGAATGAGAGAGCGACAGAGAGAGAGAGAGAGAGAGTAAAAGAAGAGGAAGGAACAGAGAAAGAGAGGAAGAGACAGAGGGAAGAGAGAGGGAGAATAACAGAAAGAAAAGAGCGAGAAGCAGAAACAGACATAGACAGTGAGACCGTAAGGACAGCATGACGGAGGGGGAGAGGGAGAGGGAGAAACAGGGAGAGAGAGTCGAGAGAGAGAGAGAGTCAGAGAGAGAGAGTCAGAGAGAGAGTCAGAGAGAGAGAGAGAGAGTCAGAGAGAGAGGAGAGAGAGAGAGAGAGAGAGAGAGAGTCAGAGAGGGAGAGAAAAGAAAGAGAAAAGAAAGTGTATATCAGCTTTAGTAAAAGAGAAAATACAATGTTAATACTTTGTTACCAAAATATCATTGAAAGTAACAAAGAAAACATTCGTACTTCTGTCCCATAATTATGACAGTCATCAAAGTAATTTCTTTGTACTAATTAATATATAATGACTAACAGATACAATCGTTAACATCTATTAAGAATACAAATATAAATAATAATGAAACAATAAAACTAAAGATTTTAAAACATATCAGGTTAAAGAGTTTTTTTTTAACTCGTTACAATCAAGTCCTCAGTAGTATAGTGTTAAGTATCCCCGCCTGTCACGCAGGAGACTGGGGTTCGATTCCCGCCGGGGAGGCTTCTTTGAATTTTTTTTTTTAATATACTTCTATATATTTATAGGTGCATTTTCGGCAAAACTAAGCTATAAATAGTCAGTCAGTTAATTCTTTTCTTCTCTGATATTATTTTTGGTTATGTTCTTCTGTTTTCTTTTACACCGATGTTAGGTGTGTAAACTAACCCTGTACAAAACCCAGACAGTTCTCCATTTTCGGTCTGACCAGGCTCTTTGTAGCTGTTTTTGAAGTAGTATTTCAGTTCAAAGCTAGACAAATTGTTTTGATAATCAAAAACACTGTAAAATGCAAGGGGTATGCAGAAGGAAATGTTGCTATTCAGAGTGTGCATACAATATGAAAATCCCCAGCACGTCTCTCCTCTACCAATTCACTGTGCCGTTCAATCAGTCCGATTCAAAATACTGCGTACTGAAAAAACGCGCACTTCGTTTATATCAGTTACATGTTTGCGCCATACAAATCACCAACATGTTTTTTTTCAAGTCTTTGTCTCGCACATGCGCCATGATGGAATTACAAATGGAAACCATGACCGGCCCTTTGTCCTCACTTCACTAGAACATTGCATTTAAATCTTTGAAGAAAACATGGAGTTCACCAAACGAGAAAAGAAGCTGTTAACGTAAAAATTACGGTTACATGTAGCCATTTAAATGGTAAGTTAATGGGATCTTGTTGCCATTCTCGTACTGTGCTTAAATTCATTAAGTCTAGGAACCATGAATGCATTTATAAATAAAAGGGTAGCAACATTACGACGGTGGAAAAGTGACTGCGTCCTGAAAAAAACGTGCTCTTCGTTTATATCAGTTACATGCTCGCGCATGCGAATCGCCAACAGGTTTTTCTTAAGTCTTTGTCTCGCACATGCGCCATGATGGAATTACAAATGGCGACCATAACCAATACTTTGTCTCACTTCAATGCACTCTTGTAAACGTAGAGGATAGCACCAGGAGTACGGTACTTATTGGAGCGATACAAGGTAGCGACAATATTTCCCAGCATCCTTATCGATAGATCGTATGTAATGTTCGAACTCCACTCAGGTCTGGGTTGAGTTTAAGGCCCAATAGGCGCCCGAGGCACGGGGTCTCCGCATAGATGATACAATGGTATATGGTTGCACCAAAACCAAATCATTGGTGGCGTTGTGTGTGATCAGAGGAGAGACCAGCTGCCAATCGCTGAACATCTAGCCTTCGGATATGCACCCATTTGACGTATCATCAGCATAGATATTCACAAAGTATACTCTGTGGCATATCATTTATGTAAAGTAAAAAAGAGTGATTTTCTAAATAGCGACCCCCCCCGCCCCGGGCGCCTGTATTGATTGCCAGGGCCTTGGAAGTCTGACCGTTAACAACTACCGTCCGGGACTTCTCGTTACGAAGGATTTTATAATTGACAAAAAATAATTGACAAAATTCAATTTTCTTGGCAGCTTTTATTTGATTTGATTGTTTAACGGCATAACAACTCCTAATGGGCCATTTAATGTCGAAATTTAATTTTCTTGGGAGCTTTTATTTGATTTGTTTGCTTAACGGCATATCAACTCCTTATGGGTCATTTAATCCCGAAATTTAATTTTCTTGGTAGCATCAGTAATTTCTTTTACATTGCTAGTAATTTATTTTAACTATGAAAATGTGCTGCTGGTATTTTTACTATAAAAACTTATTTTTATACATTCATAGTATTTTGACCTTAGTTTGTGAGTTAACTACTTGCCCATAGCTGAGACCCTAACAGGTGCTACCACATCGGGTAAGGTGAACATAGAAACAACATCAATTAAACGGTGGTTCCACGCTTCTCAAAAGCTCCCGATCAGAGGTCTTGTGGTTGGGTGTAAGTTATTGTCATACCAGGACGTCATTACTGGCAGAATAGGGGCAATGCTAATCGTCTAACTATAGAAATATATTGAAAATGGGGAAGAGCAGGATATTTAGATGTAAGAAATTAATCCATGAATTACAAATAGAATACGGATATTGCTAATTAGTTTATTTACATTGAAAATGGGGATGAAAAGGATTCTCAGTTGTCAGAGATTGTTGAATTACTGTCAGAATAGCGTTTAGGACAATATAGAAATGTTTGTACTCCCTTGCTCCCACCAAATCTCAACAGTTGAACCACCGGATAAAGAGGACAACGCTTGACGGACATGCTACAGAAGGCGTCACAAATTATATATCAGCTGTAGTCCTTTGCAGTTTCAACACTGGATTCGGCGTGTCTCATTCCATATGTACCGAAGGGGAAGGTCATGAAATCAAGTGTGTGGGTCACTTCCTGACAAGTTGGGTTCCACCTTGAACAAATTAACGCCATCGGCACTTTCTTCTACTCAGATTTTCTTTCACCACCAACCAATGAAACGGCGATAGAAAATGAATGACGGGAGCAGGTTTTGGTGAAAGTGGAAGCTTCTAGTCCTGAAGCTGCACGTTGGCGACAAATTTAGTTATTAACGCAATCATTCAATAAAAAAAGTGATCAACAAAGAAGAAATGAAATTCCTGGATACGAGATAAATGCATTGAAAATAAACTTCACTGATGTTCAAAATACAAGTGGCCTCTTGACTGTGGGAACGAGGATTTTGAAAAACACTTTTTGTCTCTTGGCTATCGATTCGACAGATGGGTTATTTCTCTTTCCCGTGATTTTATTTATCTGATCTCCCCACAGAGGGTATGATGTGACACAAAGTCTTTTTTTTTGTTAATGTGGGGATCCCACACGCGTACAAAAAAATTATTATCCTGGCGTCGATATTGCACTGATTCCGCCTCTCTTATTGCAACGAGGAAAGTGTCGTCACAGGGTTTGGCACCCTCGGGATCATGCGTCTTCTTTTATCTAAAACGAAGAGAACATGTACTACGCTTTGATCCCGGCTCGTTCTTTTGATAATGTTTCATTTAAATTTTATATTTTCTCTGTGCCAAGAGCCAAAATTCAGTGAATTCTGTGAAGAAGACGTTTTATTTTTATTTATTTTACTTCTTGTCGGATACACCAATTGGTCGAAATACCAGCTATTTTGCACCGATTACAAATGTCAATACAGTTGGTTTGTAACAAAGTATAACATCTTAAATTTTAGAATTTGAAGACTTGACTACTCAACTACAAATGCCCTTTGCGACCCATTCATTCTAACAATTTCCGTAACCACCACAAGAACCCATACTTCACTTTTCGATAGAACATCTATCACAATACCACATATTTGCCAGGCTCCTATTAAAACACGCATGATGTAAAATATGTACAATTGTTTTTTTTGCTACTCTGCTATCTTTCCAAAGAATCCATAGAGAGTCAGGATCGCCTGCGATCAGGAGGGAGATGAAATTAAAAAAGAATTATACTTGCAATTGTATATTTAAGGAATTCCTGTATTAAAGGAAAGCGAAGAAAAGACTTTTAAGAAGACAGAATGAATGTATGTATGTATGTATGTATGTATGTATGTATCTATCTATCTATCTATCTCAGTCTGTTCATATCTATCTATCTATCTATCTATCTATTAGGTAACATATATCTATCTATCTAGCTAGATATCTGACAGGAAATACTCGATAGCTGCTCCATTATCTTTCCAAAGAATACATGGCATTTGGCAGATAATAAAATAAATCTGCGCAGAGTTATGATCGCCTACGATCAGGAAGGAGATAACATTTAAAAAAAAAGAATTACACTTGCAAGTGTTGGTAAAATGTATATTTAAGGAACTCCTATATATAAAGAAAGCGAAGAAGAGACTTTTAAGAAGTCAGAATGTATGTTCGTTCGTATGAGAGACCGCTGAAGACGCGAACTGGAGACGTCAGAATGAAACCAATCTTGGAAGTGTTTAAATGTGACTGAGAAATGTGGAGGCAAATTCGAATAAAGAAGATGCTTTGTACAAGTTAAGCAAAGTATTAAGAAACAGATGTTTGTTAGAAACAAAAGAGAGCTAAACTACAATGTAATATCAATCATGAATGCTGGACAGATGAAGAGAAGATTGAAGGCAACAGAGATGTAGTTCTACAGAAGGATGTTGAGAATATTATTGGCGGAGCAGGTAAACATTTTAAGGAAAATGGAAACACAATGGACATATAGATTATCAGAAAAATTCAGTTGAAGCTTTTTGAATACAAAATAAAGAAACAATACTTGGAGAATTTAACACTCACAGGATATATTGAAGTCAAAGAACTAAACACTGAGTAAGTTACCTAAGGAGTATACCTAAATAAATCACGGAATAGGAACTTTTATTCAGTTTAGGTTGAGATATTCTGAATCTGTTTTTAGATTCAACGGGATTATTCTTTCTATCATAATAAATTCAAGAAAAATAATTTTTTTCGGTTTTGATCAAGAAGAAAAAAGCTAATGTTTAAATTTGATTATCATCCTTGATTTGGA